CCATCCAACTATCAAGAAAACATATATCGAGGTCCCAAACCCTCCATTCCCAAGTTTACCAGGGATGATCCTAGAGAATTTTCAAGGCTCCGGATTGCACTGGAGAACATCCTGCCAGCTGATGCAATGGAGAGATTCAAGTATCAGATCCTGTATGACCACCTGAAGTTTGAGGAAGCTCTCCTGATAGCAGACTCTTATGTCAACTCCCCATGCCCCTACACCGACACGCTTCACTGATGGCTTCACTGGTTTCACTGACCAGACAGTACGGCCAACCTCACCAGTTGTCATTAAGGCAAATATCAGAGTTGATGGATGAGCCTCCCATATGACCAGGTGACATAGCAGGGTTCCGTAGGTTTGCATTACGAGTTAGAGCACTTGTGGGGATGCTGAAGCGGCTGGTGGAAGATGGACTGATTGAGCTGCAGTGTGGATCTCACTTTGCAAGGTTAATGAGGAAGCTGCCACAAGATCTCCGTGCAACCTTCCGTCAATACCTCTGTTGGAGACAAGATGGAGTCCCCTCCCTATTAGACTTTTCTCACTGGTTAGAACAAGAGCTTCTTGTTCAAGAAGGAGGGGACAGCATGGATAGGATAGAGGAGGGAAGACGTAAGGACTATAGACCCAAGAAAGATTATGGCAGGGAGGGAAAGCCCAGCAGGGTCGCCACAGTTCTCCATGGCACCACAGAGGTCCACCCTGCCGATACCTCCTGCAGACAGACCTCAGAGGTGAAACCCAGAGTATGCTGCCCATACTGCTGCAATAACCAACATTTCCTGGATCAGTGTGCCAATTTCAAGCAGCTCTCCAGAGACCAGAGGATGGATAAATAAATAAATTTAATTTAATTTACCCTTTATTTTACCAGGAATGTCCCATTGAGATACATTATCTCTTCTTCCAAGGAGTCCTGGCCAAAGTCGTAGCAATAAGTTACAAAAGTTCCAACATATACAAACAACATACACATAGAACATGTAATATTAACACCTAAAGACATACAAACATACCAATGAATACAATACAATAAACACAGACTATCAAACTAAAATACATGGAAATTCCAATTGTCAAAAAGACAGAGAGAGTTATGGACAAGGAGAAGAGAAAGAAAGAATAAAATAATTAAAAATACATATATAAATATATGGGCTACAAATTATGAAAAACAATGGCACTGTTGTATAAGAACTGATTTTAAAAGATTTTTGAAAACATTTAAAGGGTGTAACTGTCACACATGATTTGTGTTATTTATATTTTCTTTTTGGTTACATAATTTAATTAGGTCAATTTCTTTTCAGAATATCAAACTCCGTTTCAATATTTCATTTGCGCTCTCTCTTCTTACGGACGCAAAGGGAAGAGGAAGAGAGAAGACTCGCCAGCTAAAGGCAGAAAAGAGTTTTATTTAAGTTTCACCCTTTCTGAGACTGATATATTCTCTAAGAGGACTCATTCCCTCTCGGTTGTGTGAAGCCAGCGAGGTATGTTTGAGTTTATCCATGTTTTAGTTGTATGTTTTGCTGTATTTTAAGTTTTAATGTACGCAATGTGAATGCCTGTTCGCTGTTCTGTGTGAATAGTTCGAGGGTGGATATATGAAAAGAGAATCTGTCGAAGCTGTTTAAAGACGGCGAAAGATTTTAAAAGAATAAATCCATCCGTAACCAGAAGAACTACGGTGTCGCGTATTTCCTGGAGGGAGTGAAAAAGGGGGTAGGGACTAGGGAGTCCAAATTTAGAATGTTTTGTAATGAATTCCACTCATGTGGTGCATATAAGCAAAAAGCGGATTTCCCTAGCTCTGTCCGAGTTATTGAAGAACAAAGAAGGAGTTTTACTGATGAACGCATACTGTAAGTATTAGTGCGAAGTGTCAGTAGATTACATATGTACTGAGGTAGTTTACCCATTAAAGCCTTTGCAATAAATACTAGGCAGTGAGATTTCCTTCTAAGCTGTAATGATGTCCATTGCACCATGTCATAAAGATCACAGTGATGTGTTCTTGCTGCAGCTCCAGTCTCTTCTGAGAGATTGTTGTGAAAACCAACAATCGATGCTGGCGATATGGACGCCAGCATCTGGCTGCTCAGTGCAAACTGAAATTGCAGTGCAAGATCTGCAGAGGCAAACATCTTGAGTCTTTGCATGTTGTTAATGACAGGACTGCTGCCCACCAGAAGGATACCAACCCAACATCTTCAAAGGGTCCAGATCAGCCCACTGATATCTTGTATCTGGATCGACGTGCTGGCTGCAACCAGGTCCTTCTCAAGATCAGTAAGGTGCTCCTGCGGAGTGGTGATCACTCTTTGGAGACATACTGTATACCATTCTGGACGATGGTTCAGAGAGGACGATTCTACTGCCTGAAGCTACACGGCGCCTGAAGCTCCAAGGTCAGCCAGAGAATCTGACAGTGAGGACAATACGTCATGACGAGAGAACATTGCAGGGCTCATCAGGGACATTTACTATTTCTCCAGTTAATCACCCAGCCAAGACATTCACAGTTGATAAGGCATTCACTGCAGCACAGCTAGGTTTGGTCGATCACACCTACCTAGTAGACAGTTTGAAGAGGAAGTTCAAGCACCTTAAGTCACTTCTGCTTGAGCCCTTCTCATAACACCCATTATGCCAGTACACCTTGGAGCACCGGGCGGCTCTGCAGCAGTGAAAACAAGATTGGGTTGGACTCTTCAGGGGCCTGTAAGTCGCATACAGTGCAATGATTCCCAGCAGCATGTGAACATTAAGGGGGGAAACAGGGAGCTTCTGCAAGCCTTTCAAGCCCTACATCCATCCCTGCAGTCACGGTTGGCAGCACAACAGATCCGATTCTCATTCACCGTGAGCCCCGCACTTTGGAGGAGCCTGGGAGAGGGAGATAAAAATCAATTAAGTCAGCCCTTAATGCCAGCTTGGGTTCACAGATCGTCACCTCGGAAGTTCTGGAGACCACCCTGATAGAGATTGAGGGGATCTTAAATTCGAAGCCAGTAGGCTATGTGTCGTCGGACATCGCCGACCCAGACCCGGTCACGCCAAATCTCCTGCTGATGGGGCGGCTAGATCCATCTACGCCTCAGGTGCTATATCATGATTCAGAGGTACCCAGGGGTTGATGGCTTGATTCACACTGCAGAAGTTTGTGTGAAGGACCGTAACTACGTTCGACCCGTCAGTCGACTCGTCAGGCTGCCATCTGTTCCAGAGGACAACCAGTCACCCGATGCTGCGAATTCGGGGGCGGCTGTCATGAAGAGTGAAGACGACTGCTGGAGGGAGTGGTGGGCGGCGAGTGCCACCCTGCGTACTGTGTAGGGACTGTAGTTTTGAGTTTTAGCCTCCTGCGGTACCTGTAGCTCGTTGTCATAATTAGTGCGGCTTGCTCAGTTCAGGAAGCGTGTGCGTCCAAAGAGCCAACCACACGTGTATACCCACGAAAGTAAGCGGCTGTTGTTAATAAAGGCTGGTGGAACAACGGACTGATGCATTCTGACCGATGCACACTCAGGGCTCATAACGCCATAAGTAACCAGCATTAATAGGCAGCACCTCCTTTTTCACACTCCCCTTAGGAGCCCCTTGTTCTGCCATGCCCCAATCGTTACACATACACATTCTTTCCCAATTAAATTCATGAAAAGTTTGGTAAATGTGGCCCCAAGCAACAAAACATGGATTTGCAGTTTCCATTTTGTGTCAGTTATATTGGATTTTTGGGAAAATCATACTTTAAGTTACAACTGTATTGACCCCTCATCAAGAAAATATTTAGCATCATTGATTTATATTCTATGTAACTGTAAAGGTTTTGTGAGCATTTATTAAAAAAAAAAAAACATCCATGATAATGATTCTTGTGTTCTGCAAACAAAATGAGGTAGAGTTAGACAGTGCTAGCTAGTCACCCAGTTTGCCTTATAATACTACTCCACAAACCAAGTTTAGACAGTGGCCCAGATCATTTCAAAAGTTTCTACAAAATATGTTGTTGGGAATCCTGATTCCTGGCTGCATATCAATGTCCATGGACCACTGGGCCTTTGATAAGTAGTGCAGGTCCCAGTCAAGTCCAGCTGCCTTTAATTTAAGCAGACAATTGTTTGATTAGCAGTTTCCTCAACTACAATCAGCCATGTAGCAGCATGTTTTGCCACTCAGTGCATCCGAGAGGACATGTTCTGGCAGGAAAATGACATCAACATGTACCCTCTATAGCAGCGGTGGCCAATCTTATCCGCAAAGGGCCGGTGTGTATGCAGGTTTTTGGGATAACCTGTAGGTCAGCTGTTCAAACCCAGGTGTGAGGACTCTTTAGCCAATCAGTTCTTCTAATTAGTAATCTAATTAGGGAGTTGCAGTGAAAACCCATATACACACCGGCCCTTTGCGGATAAGATTGGCCACCCCTGCTCTGTAGCTATTTGTTTGAGCATTTACAGTTTTCAGTAATTTTGTCATTGGTCATTAAAAAAATGCACTGCTTTCCTACTGGCCATTTTGAAGGTGTGGTTGTGCTTAGTCAGTGTTCCTCCTTTACATTTTCACCAAACCATGACACTTCTTCACACATGCTGTACAAACACGTTTAACTGAACTAGAAAACCTGATTGTAGCTAGCTGCTCTTAGCAATCTAATTAAATCTGTTGATACCTTTGATTCTTGTTCATTCTTTGTTTCTTATAAAATATTAGTAATCTTGTATAGTTTCACAGTTGAGTTTGCACGTTTTGCATGCTGACCCTGTGCATTCTATTCTTTTGTAACATACTGAAGATCCAAACCAAATTTCTCTCTAGTTCACCATAATAATACATTTTTATTTTTAATACATTTTTTACACATGCTCATTATAAAAGTTATATCTTACGGAGTTTAATTACTTTTTTTTTCTTTTCCACAGGGTAATGGTCCCGGATCCCCCTACTAAGACTGGATTCTGTAACTGTATTCCTTTTGTGCCCCCTTTGTTCCCTTGTTTACGCAGCATATTTAGGAAAAGCAACATCGTTACGCTCTTGAAATTAGATGAAGCTTCACGCCACCCCCAGGGCATTGAACCTACGTTTTTTTACCAACCACGCATGTGCAAAACTATAAAGTTAGATTCAGTCCTCAAGATGACCTCCTATCCGTGGGATTAAACAATTTGTAGAGCTGTATTGGTTAAAATGGTTTAATTATATAATCGTGGACAAAGGTTAGTATTCAACACTTGTAGGGACTAAATCAGCCCCGAACCCCCGCCCCCTAAACACACACGGTACTCCCACAATATTGGCAAGGGCATGGCCTACGCCTGCGATTATAGGCTAATAGATGGTTATAATCTTTTTGCTAACAATTATAATTTAGAAAGATTGCAATATATCATACATCGCAGGCGAAATGTAAGTTAATAATCATTCCCGAAAATTAACATTAGCCGCTAATCACCGAACTAATTTCTGTTGCTAAGTTTGACAAAGCTATAAATGCAGCTTTTCACGTCGTTTTATTCCAGCCTCTATCCCTTCATCGTGTTCTGAGTCGCCGCGAATATTACATTATGTCAACATAATTTCAAATTTAAGAAATTAAACTTAACAGTTATGTTAAATAATTTACATAAACTTTACCAAGAAAATGTATTTTCTTTTCAAGTAAAATATGACTCCAGTTGCTTATGAAATTAAATATTACGATTTAATTCTGTACTCACTGCCTTCCGTATAGGCCTTTCGGTGCTGATCTGACTCTTTCCATTTTGACCCTTACGTAAAATATCCTTTGGGGGTGTGCGCATTAGCTGATCTGGTGTATGAATAAAACTGTAAAAAACGGATTAAATGGGGGAAATTGCGCTGTCGGTCTATTGGCTGCAGAAAAAAAGCACCGTGTTCCTCAGTGAAGTCTCTGAATTTGCATTATGGCCAGCTGCTCATTTTAGCGGCATAAATTAACTTGTTTAATACATCTTGTGTATGTGCGTGCCCACTTAGCAACGTAGTATTAGTAGTTATCGTTGCAAGAATATCACATATAAATTTATTAGGAAAAGGAACTCAACAAATCAGAGAAGAAAGGGAAATGTGTGTCCGGTGTAAAATCTGCTTACAATTACTTGTAATTTAAGGAGAAGACATGAATTAATTAAAGAGAAGGTTAAATTAGGATTAAATCGGGATTATTTTTTTATATGAAATATTTTCTACATTATCGACATGCAACTTTTGTTGATGTGAGAAATGATGATGTAATATAATACGCACGCGACTTAAAACAACAATGAATTCCTTAGTCACAGCTTGTAATGATCACACTAGATTCAAAATGCATAACCCATATTCAATACTAATTAACAACATATTTGGAACTAAAATATATATAACTTTGTATTATTAACGCATTTAAAAGACAATTCTGCTTAATTTATTATAATGGAAGGAACGTTATTTACAATCCCAGGGACCGTAAATTGACCCAGGAAAGCGAGAGATAATAAATAAGCTTAGACTTTGCATCCCATTCTGATCTTTTTTTTTTTTTTTTGGTGGGGGTGGATAGTTTTAATCACACACGCGCGCATTCCGACGAAAACATGCCCTCTGAAACATAGGCTACTCCACGTTTTGCACGGGAAAAATCAGAAGACAGTCCAATGGATTAATAATGTCCAATTGCCATGTACTATGGCACGTTAACTCTTTGCAGTACTTTCTCATCGAGGTAGTTATTAAAAGCATTTTGACGTCAATAGAAACGAGTTAAGTTTGCATGTGATCTACTACGAGCCAATACATCAGGACCCGAGTTGGAGCGAGGCTGTTTGGGGACCTTCGCGGTACAGCCAGAACACAGAGAAAGTCCGTAGTTGCGTCGATTTAGGAGAGCCGAAAAAGAATATAAAAGGTAAGTGTTAGAATTGCATTATTTGTGACATGAGAAAAAATGTTCTGTTTGGTAGGAAGCTGCTTATGGTATTATTGGTAACATATTAAAAAGTACGGAATTATAAATCAAGACTATTTGTTCTGAAACTGCAAGGCAGTGCGAGTTCATTTGTATAGCCCTTTTATAGACATGCTTAGCAGGCACATAATTAAGTACAGATCAATTTAACATCACGATTTAAATGTTAATAATAACATTTTAAGATATTTAAAAGTATTGCCAATTATTATGGAAAAGAATTCTGCCGTATTTGATAGATGAAACAACATATTTGTTCTATAAAAAATGTAAAACATGGCCAAACGACATAATGTTTCCTAAAAAATGATTGTAGTGTAAAACAGCAATGTTCGATTCATACGTGTTTTTTACTTTTGAAATCCAGATTATAGAAAATATTTCAAATTGTGGGATTTCACATCCACACACATGCTGCACACTGTGGTTTGGGTTCAGTCGTTTCTTTAATCCGCAGCAGGTCCCAGTCATTCGGGAGAAAGAGAGCTCGATTTCGTCTCATATTGCATTTGTCTCAATGAGGTACATTTGTTCTATCAACTCGATCACTTTGTGTTAAAATTGACACAGACTCTTCAGTGGTTTTACTACCAAAAAACATACTCAGTCGTGCCATACCCCAGAAAATGTACATACTCCAAAAGTTTTGTTTAAATGTATATAAAAAATAAATGTAATTACATTATTATTATTATTATTAGTAGTAGTAGTAGTAGTAGTAGTAGTAGTAGTATTATGTGACAATGGAAATGTGCATTCAAATTACTACATAATCAAAAAATGTATATTTCTTCATTCGTAGTATTGCGGAATTGTTTGATTAAAAAGTTTACTTTAGTACAGCGTACACATTAGAAACGGATATTGCGTTTATTACATCGATCTTCTTACACGTTTTTAATCACCCGTCGATCTATAATCGTGCTTAAAATTTCAATAGTTGCAATGATATTGTAGTTTAAATCTTTGTTTCTCAATCAAAGCTCTATAAATTACAATCCTGCATGAACAGTATGCTAATTATATTCACTCCAATATTAATACATTTTGTGAATATTTATATATTTCCTAATTATGTCGCTTCTAAAGTCTTCATATAACTGCAGGAGGTTCAAAGAACCAAATGCTATTTCTAGCAAGGCGGCACATTTCTGAAGGAGTACACATGCAAATGTATAGGCTACATTCAGACTCATATTATCATAAGCAAATATTGAGGATCTACACTAATACAATCCCATCTGTGTTACTTTGTTTGAAGTTGGTGCAGATCCGTGATAATGAAATGTCGAGTGTCACGCAGACAGACATCTCAGTCAAGGATTAATCCAGTCATTTTACTATTGAAACATAAAATTAGCATCCAGAGGGAAGGTTGTAGGCATTAGCCTACCACAGCGCCGTGTCATTGAAATCTGCCCATGACCCCAATTTCAAAAGGGTGGACATTTTTAAGTGGCAACGGTATCATTACATCCAATTAACGACAACCTGCACGAATGCTACTGTAGGATTATTGTTGATCTTGTTTTTCCTATAACACCTACAAATACAATTACAAATATGAAGTGCATACCAAAAAAGATGATGAAATTCAAAACTATTCTGTAGGCATTTTTATTATTTCATGTATTTTAAAACAAATACGAAACGCATATTGCGCTTTTTGGTAAAATATGTGGTAAGAATATCGTTATATTTAACGATTTTTTTTTTTTAGCGGCTGCACCAAAAATGGACTTTCACTGCCACAAACTTTCGGCATGTGTCCAAATAGGTGAGTATTTCTGATTCATTTTGGAGTACGCTATTTTAAGAGTGGAGTACAGGAAACGAAGAATTTCTACATATGAATCTGAATTTTTAATTATCAGATGTTTTTTTTTCTCTAAGATATTTCTTTGCCAGGGTACATATATATGGCGCCCTCTACTGCTTGAGTATTGGTGTTTTTAAGACCTAATGGCACACTGTCCCAACAGCACGTATGTGTTTGATATTTTTTTATAATTATAAAATAGGTATATTTTTCCAATTATTAGTCAGATACCAGCTTCAGTGCAGCGCTTCAGTACAGTTTTCATTAGCCGGTAATACTAATTTATCTGGTTCTGAGTTTCCACATTCAGTGATCGCGGCTAAAAATGCTGTTAATCTGTGTTTCCTCAGTGGCATTTGTTTAAATATAATACAGGCTATTCACATTTTGATCACTTAAATTACCCCCTTTGGGCATATATGTTTTTGAATGCAATTGTAGGCCTTACTGCTAAGGTAGGCCTGTAACATTCTGTGACTGCTATATTTTAACTGCCACAACAACAACAACAAGAATGATAATTATTGATAGTACTTATTATGGTCGCCGTCGTCAGGTTTTAGGGTAAATTTAGACTTAAAACATTTACAACTATAAAAATGCTTGATTTCGATCAGCCGGCTTGACCTTTAAATATGTGATAGTTGACAGTTGAGGAAATTAAGTGAAAAATTAAAGCATTTCCGTGACGATTTCCATTTAAAAGGTTATGTTGTCGCACCTTAATCGACCGAATAATTATTGCTTGTCTAAAAATTATCATCATGATATTTTATCATAATTCACCATTTTAATTCGTTAGGGGAAAAAAACGAAAATGTAAAAAATAATCCGGTAAATTTAGAGCTCGAAAGAATTTGCAAGCGGCAGCTGTATTTAATAAGGCAGGACAGATGGGCCCATATAGATCTCATTCGGAGTGGTTATTTTTGCCTGGAGAACTGACAGCGTTTCCCCGATTTCTCTGGAAGGTCTGCCAATGAAGTTTATATAAAGGGCTACTGATGGATTCTGTGTGAGCAACAAAGGCCTCTCGAAAACGTCAGATATGCGATTTGTGCATCTTAGAAATATTTGACTTAGATTTCAGAGAGCGAAACCCAGAAAACGAAGCGACTGTTCTATATTATTAATTCAAAAATATTTTGGGGTAATTCTCCCAATTTCCAGAAATGTTGTTATAAATAGTATTTACATTATGCATAATAAGCGGAATAGTTTTAATGGATATTTAAAATAAATAATATATAGTAATGCATATTGTTTATCAAATATATGCTGTATATGTAAACAAAACTAGTTGTATACTGAGGTTCTAATCACTTATTTTATTATCAGAATTTGTTATATAGGCCTATTCAGCTATAGTGCCACACTGAAAGCATAAAATGTTGCTTGTAAGTTGCTAATCGAGTTCGGAAAAATCTGCATGTATGAAATTCCGATAATGAACAAAAACACTTAAATAGCACTAAGTATGTGTCACATTCATTGAAATGCCTACGATTTGGGTATTTCGCAGAAAAATAATTCTATTAAATACCGTGTAACATATACTGTATTTTTGACTGCATTGTTTAATACTGTAACAAATAAAAACAAATTTGCGGCAAGAAGAAAAAGTGTTGTACCTGTATCATGGTTTAAGTTTTGTAAACCACATTAGGTCTTATATATCGGCCCCAGCAATCTGCAGGAAATAATGTTTTATTGTTTCCGCTTTATATATTGTATGATATATATCATAGACGTAACCAACATAAATATATACGTACATAAATTATTAAACCTAACGTGAGAAACTTCAAGTATGACAGACGTAGTAGATAGAATATTTTATGTTCGCTGCATCAGTCCCATTTGTATGGTCATTGTGTCATATGCCTGAACAATTTAAGAAAAAATCAGTAGGCCTACTGTCTTGCATTTTGAGAAATCTTTCTGTACAGCCAATAGGTTATTATTTTTTGTTTGGAAAAATAAGAGAAAACATTCGCAACTTATCTGTTCTGCTGTCGGATTGAAAAAAAAATACACTTGACTTAGCCTGTCAAAAAGTGGGATGGATTATATGACGTCAAAGAACGAAAAGTTACTTCAGAGAGCCTGCAACGACCTGGGAACATATGAATTGAAAATTGAAAGATCTAATATCTGTATGATTTTCCGTGGGTGTTCTGTCACCTACCTTTCGCTCGGAGATTTTTAACCACTAGCAGGTTCAGCCGTTATGTGTTGAAGCCTTATTGAGCCTTCTTCAAAAATGTTTATGCGGTTTATTTCCTGGCTTATTTGAGTTGTACGCTTATTGTTTTAATTTGCGAAAGTCTTTTAAATTGATCGGTGTAAAGTCTGCGCAAGTCTCCATCACAAATATTTTCTGAGTGTAGGGGCGTTTCGGCTTGAGCTAAGACGCGGTTTCTGATTTACATCGATCCTTCAGACTTGTTATTAATGACTTCTGTGAAGGGCCCGCTGTATTTAGACCACCAATTGACAGGAAATAAATCTGAACCTGGCAACCAGACAAATTCAGTTATGGCTTCTAGCCTACAGCCGCCCCAGCGGTTTCGGGGTAATAAAGACCGCCTAGAGATCCGCGCTGCGTCGGATACCGCCAGTCCGGAATGTATAGGTAAGGCTCGGCCTCAAGCTAGTTTCATTTTCCTGGAAAAACATCTAAAATAAGTAGTGTATTTACCTACTGCATGAAAGGGTAGAGTTAAACTTTAAATATCCATGAATACAGCGTCTCAAACGTAGTGCAATTCTGCAATTGCAGAATTACCTGTGACTTACGTTTTCACTAATACAGAGAGAGAGAAAATTCACAACAAAACTGAAGACTCTTCAGACGACCCATCAAAGAAGAAGAGGCAGCGAAGACAGAGGACACATTTCACCAGCCAACAGCTCCAAGAGCTGGAGGCCACTTTCCAGAGGAACAGGTATCCAGACATGTCTACAAGAGAAGAGATTGCTGTCTGGACCAACCTCACAGAGGCCAGAGTCAGGGTAAGACAACGATGATTACATGATAAAGACAATCTGCAATTATTTGAGTTACTTACTGTACACCCCTTTCAGTTTAAGAGGAGTGCAGGCTATTGTTGTACCAGACTGCATGCATAAACTGAGTGACAGATTATACACAACTAAGATTGGCTAAATGAAATGCCCATTCAACCATTTAGTTATCAAACCGTCCATCCATCCATTCATCTATACATACATACATGCATTCATCTTTTAATTGGTTGTACTGGTGAAGTTCCCTTGGTGTCTGGCAGCATAGGGCATAATATGATGTATATTCAAAGTTCTATTTTAAAATTTTACTTTTATTTTTCATATCCTTTGTAACTGTATTCTTGCTTGTTCCTTCTTAAATTATTCTAATAGTTGCACAGTCAAAAGAGCGGTTCAGGATAATTTCACTGCATGTTGTACCTGTATAACTATGCATGTGACAATTAAAAGAATCCTGAATCTTATTGTAATGTAATGTAATGGCATAAGACCTACAATCATTCACTATGGGCAATTTAGACATGATAAATAGCCTTCCATTGTAAGGGACCCGGAGCAGAAAGGGAGAAATACACACAGAAATACACACAGACATACACACACCATGCCCTTTGGGGGAGGGGTCCAATCCATAGTTTTTGCAGACTGCAGAGCTGAAATCATTTTTTTATTTTTGGTGGAGGGGGGGTAAAATCTATACATTTTTCATATGCCTCACACACACACACAAACACACACACACATAAACACACAGCAACCAGACAAATTCAGTTATGGCTTCAACTCTACATATATACTATCCAGCATCATACCTGCACTTATTGTTTCTCATTCCTTCTGAAAGTCACTTGATTTCATCCTCCGATTCATGAGAAACTCTCAGATATGTTAACGGTCATCTCTGGCATTAGATTGTCGCTTTCGCCTTTTACCTGGCTGGTTTCTGGTCATTCTCCTGCTTCACCTTATGCTCGTGTACTGCTGTCTTACAAATTGTGAACCTGGAAGCAACCTGTTACTCAGCGTAGCCTTTGGCCAGCAGAACCACGATTTAAACAGGATTTGCAAACGCAGATTTGTTTTTCTATGGCTTTGTGTGTGTGTGTGTGTATACATATATATATATATATATATATAGAGAGAGAGAGAGAGAGAGAGAGAGAGAGAGTTATGCTGTTACAGACGCTGTTAGTACATGAGCATAAATAAAGCACATGTAAATGCCATTGCATGTCGTGGAGTACTGAAAGGACACGTATGCTGTTCTTGTTAATATGCCTTAACGTTACTCATTTTTTACAACTATTATAGGTATGGTTCAAGAACCGCCGGGCAAAATGGAGGAAAAGGGAGAGAAATCAACAAACGGAACTTTGCAAAAATGGATTCGGTCCTCAGTTCAATGGACTTATGCAACCCTATGACGACATGTATTCCAGCTACACGTACAACAGCTGGGCTACCAAGGGAATAACGTCAGCCTCGTTGTCAACCAAAACCTTTCCGTTTTTCAACTCCATGAATGTCAATCCCTTGTCATCGCAGGCTATGTTCTCTCCACAAAACTCTATCTCTTCCATGGGCATAAACTCAAGTATGGTACCCTCCGCAGTAACCGGCGTGCCGGGTTCAAGTCTCGCCAGCTTCAATAACCTGAACAACCTAAGTAATCCTTCTCTGAATACTGGAGTTCCTGCGCCGACTTGTCCATACGCATCGCCGACGTCCCCTTACGTGTACAGAGACACGTGTAACTCCAGTTTGGCCAGCCTGAGACTTAAAGCAAAACAGCATTCAAGCTTCGGATACGTTCAAAATCCTTCTTCTGATCTGAGTGCTTGCCAATACGCAGTGGAGCGACCTGTGTGAAATCCGGGAATATTACAGCCGTTTCTCAGGAAGCAGACGATACAAGTGTTCTTATATAAAGGATGCACTATATTGGACAAATAACTGAAAAGAGCTGAAAATCACGGTGGAATTTATATCTGAGAAAATTATATATTTGCCTGGACTGTCCGAAATGGTATTTGATTTGTTGTAGGTTAAGATTGAACACTTCGTGTATAAACTGAACAGTAAAACTAATTTTATAAAGGTGAATGCAAATAAAGAATATAGAAAATATACAGGGATGACATTTCCTTAACGATGATGTCTTGTGTATAGTAAATGCACCAGTTTTTGTGTTTCGAATCGATTGGAAAATGTATTATCTGATGTCTTTGTGCATATGGGTTTTGTGCATATGGGTTTTTATCCCTATGAAGAATTCGCTGCATGTGTCTAGCCTAGTATAATTTTTGGTACGATTTTTAAAATTAATTATTAACTTCCCATGATTTTTTTGTGTTCGGGGGTGTTGATGCTGCTTCTTGTTTGGGTACCGAACCTTAAAAACGTTCGTGTAGAGTGGTGGTTGATCAATAAATAAATTGGCGAAACATATTGTCCACAGGTTAGTAAAAACAGAAGAAGATATTAGCTCTGGAAACCACCTGCACATTGATTATTTGGTCCAAAAGAGTATGCCGAAATGTGAAATGACAACGGGCAGTAATATTTTCATTACTTAATAGACGTGTTGCTCGATTTCTTCGTTGTATATTTCAGTGACTTTAAATATTAAGCAAATAAATACGATTTATTTTCTGGCAAGTTATTTATTTAACCGGCATGTGAAATGCAGTTATTGTAATAAATGAGGGGAACGTATAGGCCTATACACAAAACAAACAAATAAATCCTTTCAGGTTATTACATTATATTATATTACCTAATAATATTCCTGCTGCGCGCATAAATTAACCATTCCACTTCATTACAGCCCATTTAAAAAGAAATGTAGGCCTATTGGATTTTCAGTCTCAACTGTTGAGATAAATTTTGCTTGCCGTTTACTTCTCTAACTACCAAGGAGAATTTGGAATATTGTACATGCGTACAATAAATGTTATATCCGAGAGTTTATTTAGGATATTAGTTCTCTCACTTAAATTCGTGGAAAGATTCCATCTGTCTGAAAATCCTTGTTTCTCTACCCGTCTTAATACACATTTCTATGAAACAGATCTGATGAATGAGGGATTAATCCGTTGAAAGGCATGCATCTAAAGCCACACACATTGGAAAATGGTGTCTTACTTAAAATTTCCTCTATCATCTGAGATATCTGAGTAACATTTTCTGGTTAGTTTAATTAAACCTTGAAAGTTATAATTATATCACGAAGTCAGTGTTTTCCAAATATTTCATCATTTGAATAAATGCATCCCAGACATGAGTGAGTTATCGCATTAAATATTTTTTTTAAAGTAGGTGTTTAAAAATAGCGAATCGATGGTGAGTTAGGCTACTTCGTAACATTAAGTACTTAATTATCTCGTACTTATGATCGCTCGTTAATTGGAGAGTGTATCTCGAAATCCTTTGTACTAGTAATTCGTACTTTCTTTCGTAAACTAACCAGTGATCCGACCCTGGATGGGTTTGCAGAAAGCTTCTAAACGCTATGCTGAAAAAGTAGCCTACTTTAGCCACGTACGTTTTTGCCATTAGTTCGGGCGTCACGTGCAACCATGTGGAATGACAGTAACAGTAATTTTTAAAGTAAGAAAATAAATGTATCCAAACAATGTGTAAAGTTAAAAAAATAAACACTGTGTCATGCCCAGATCGTCTGCTCCTTCCGTGTGCCACGCCCCCTCGTTAACCCCGTGTGGAATCCTCGTGTGATCATCTGTTTCTGGTTGTTGTCATTAGTCCTCTGTATTTAGTCCGCGTTTGAGTTGGTTTCCCTAGTCCGGTCATTGTATTGTCCGTCTGCGTTTTGCCTGCTGTGGTGCTTGCCTGGACAGGAAAACACGGATCCAAAGATGCATGCAACAGCCGGCTTTAATGGCGAGATCAGAGCGAAGGTACAGACAGGGACAAGCAATAGGCAGGCTCAATAATCGAAAGCGAGGTTCAGTAGCCAGGGAATCCGTCCTACGAAGAAGTACGGGACACGACCACGCAGGGAAGCCAGGACGTGATGTGCTGATCTCGGCAAGGAAAGCAGGTCAGGTACAGGAGCGGCTCTGGGAATGGAAAGGGAAACGGGTAAGGCGAACACACTAGGCAAACTGAATAGGCGGGGGAAATAGAGCAGATGAAAGATACAGAACTGCTCAGTAAGGCTCATCATTTGAGTCATTTGGCTCAATACTTCGCGACATGTAGTGGCTTCTCGGTCTCTAATGAAAGTCCGCTAATCGGCTGTAATGCTGTGCACCCGGTGGGTTCCGCCTGCGTGGGCGTGACACCTGCCTTACTTCTAAGTAAACCCGTATTCCCCGATACCCTGACGTCTGCGCCTTTATCTCCGTTCCGACCCTTCTGGGCCAGACAATATTATTATAATTAAATGTATTAATGGTTTATTATTAATACTAAAATAACTAATAAGTATTCTTTATTTTTTAAAGTATTTTATTATATAATTACTGTTACTGTATCATTCTCTAAATGTATTTTTACTGCCTAAATATATGTATTCAGCTAGTGTAAACATGCTTGTTATTTAGATAATGTGAAAGTATAATTGGTCTATGCATTCTGTTGTGGTGATCAGTTGACAGCTCTACCCTGCTCTTCACCCGAGTGTCCAAGACAGAAGGCCGCAGATCAGGTGACACAATTATGAAATCGATCATCGACTTGTAACCCTGGGCATGTTCATACCATGTCCACTTATGGACACCCTTATGCTCGAACATGGTGTGTGTTATGGAGGAAACCAGTCAGACCTGGTAGGCCCAAGCGCATAGTGAGGGTCTGCTGGGAACATCTGGCAGAGGCTCCTGTTCGCCGGAACTTTAACTCGCACTTCCGGTAGAATTCCAACTGCATACCGGGGGAGGTTGGGGACATTGAGTCTGAATGGACACTGTTCCGGACCTCCATTGTGGAAGCGACCGTACAGAGCTGTGGCTGCAGGGTGGTCGGTGCCAGTCATGGAGGTAACCCTCGTACCTGTGGTGGACACCAGAGGTGAGGGGGGCTGTCAAGCTGAAGAAGGAGGCCTACCGGGAATTATTAGCCCGGGGGTCTCTGGAGGCAGCTGACGGGTACCGGCAGACCAGGCGGAACGCGGCTCGGGCGGTTGCAGAAGCAAAAACCCAGGCATGGGAGGAGTTCGGTGAGGCCATCGAAAGTGACTTTCGGTCAGCCTCAAAAAAGGTTCTGGCAAACCATTCGGAATATCAGGAGGGGGAAGCAGCTCCTGGTTTCTACTATTTATAGTGGGGAGGGGGTGCTGTTGACCTCACCTGGGGACATCACCCGGAAGTGGAAGGAATACTTTGTGGACCTCCTCAACCCTGCCTCAGATACATCTGCACGCACTGCCTTTGAGACATCTGAGGGCACACAGCCCAAGGGGGCTAGGGTGGACTTGCCCATCACTGGGGCTGAGGTGGGCACGGTGGTTAAAGAGCTACATGGTGGCCGGGCCCCGGGGGTGGACGAGATCCACCCGGAATACCTAAAGGCTCTGGATGTTGTGGGGCTGTCATGGCTGACACGCCTTCTCAACAGCGCGGGGTGGTCAGGGGCAGTGCCACTGGATTGGCAGACCGGGGTGGTGGTCCCCTTATTCAAGAAAGGGGACTAGAGGGTGTGTTCCAACTACAGGGGGATCACACTTCTCAGCCTTCCTGGGAATGTCTATTCTGGGGTACTGTAGAGGAGGGTGAGATCGATAGTCGAATCTCAGATTCAGGAGGAACAATGCGGTTTTCGTCCTGGCCGTGGAACACTGGACCAGCTTTATACCCTTGCGAGGGTACTGGAAGGGGCCTGGGAGTTTGCCTATCCAGTCTACATGTGTTTTATGGACTTGGAAAAGACTTACAACCGGGTACTCTGTGGGGGGTGCTTCGAGAGTATGGGGTCCGGGGTCCACTGTTGTGGGCGATTCGGTCCCTGTATGAACGGAGCAGAAGCTTGGTCCGCATTGCCGGTAATAAGTCGGACGTGTTCCCAGTGCGGGTTCGGCTCCGCCAGGGCTGCCCTTTGTCATTGGTCCTGTTTATAATATTTATGGACAGGATTTCAAGGTGCAGCCAGCGTGTTGAGGGTGTCCAGTTTGGTGGCCTCAGGATTGCCTCGCTGCTTTTTTGCGGACGATGTCGTCCTGTTGGCTTCATCTGCTGGGGATCTCCAATGTGCTCTGGGGCGGTTCGCAGCCGAGTGTGAAGTGCCAGGGATGAGGATTAGTACCTCCAAGTCCGAGACCATGGTTCTCAGCTGGAAATGGGTGGATTGCCCTCTTCAGGTCAGGGAAGAGGTTCTGCCTCAAGTGGAGGAGTTCAAGTATCTCGGGGTCTTGTTCACGAGTGAGAGTAGGCGAGATCGAGAGGTGGATAGTTTTGCAGGTGCTTCACCGGTTCGTCGTGGCTAAGAAAGAACTGAGCCGGAAAACAAAGCTCTCGATCTATTGGTCCATCTTTGTCCCTACCCTCACCTATGGTCATGAGCTATGGGTAATGACCGAAAGAACGAGATCGCGAATACAAGCGGCCGAAATGAGGTTTCTCCGCAGGGTGTCTGGGCTCTCCCTTAGAGATAAGGTGAGAAGTTTGGATATCCGGGAGGGTCCCAGATTAGAACCGCTGCTTCTCCACGTCGAAAGGAGCCAGTTGAGGTGGTTTGGACATCTGGTGCGGATGCCTCCTGGGCGGCTACCCGGAGAGGTTTTCCGTGCATGTCCTACAGGGAGGAGGCCCCGGGGCAGACCCAGGACATGCTGGAGGGATTATATCTCTCGGCTGGCCTGGGAACGCCTCGGCATTCCCCCCGAAGTGCTGAGGAAGTAGCTGGGGAGAAGGAGGTCTGGGTATGTCTCCTGAAGCTGCTACCCCCGGGACCCGAACCCCGGACAAGCGGAAGGTAATGGATGGATGGATGGATGGTTGGCATTCTGTTGTTTAAGTAGCAAAAGAATAACAACACCATAAAATATTTAACTTTAATTATTGAAGTTATAAATATACATTTTATTTGCATATATTATTCTAAAAACAATTTACATTTTCACTTTACACTTTCAGGTTGTGCCTGTGTCTGACACTCTTCTTTCTTTGCTAAATGCTATAAGATAGCTGATGTATTTCTATCATACATTGAAAATATCTGAACACCATGCAGTTAATATTTTTTAGAAAATCAGTAACATATATATATTTATAAGCTAAAACACTGCTTTTCTAAACACACACTGTCCCACCTTGTCCCCCACCACAAGATCTCACAAGATCTCACTCCCTGTAGGAAGTGGTCTTTCTAGGCTTGACAGGGATTATTTAATGGGTTCAAAATCATGTAGGTAGAGAAGACAATATCCATGCATCCATAGAGCCACTGAGTACTGGGAGATGCTTATGGTAAAGTCTCATTGCAGCCCAAAACATCTAAGTTCTGCTTGTACTTCAGTTCTTATATAAGATTGTAACAATGCTGTGTCCTCAGGATCACATTTTTTATTTCTTGAAAAACATCTTCTGAGATCTCAGCATCTACCAGGGCCCAGACTCCCTAGAGGAAAAGGCTTGGAAAGGCACTGAAGATGTCCTCCAGTTCTGACTCAATTATCTATGGAATTCATGCCCTGC